GGGCACTTTAAAGTACTTTAAAGTGCCCCCCGGGGGCCCCGAGAGACAAAGTACAGGGGCACCGTTTGTACTTAGACGATTTGGGCCCCCAGGGGGCCACTTTAAAGTACTTTAAAGTGGCCCTGGATCCAAGATCCAAGATCCAAGATTCCAAAAAAACTTTTTGGGGAATCTTGGATCTTGGATCTTGGATCCAGGGCCACTTTAAAGTACTTTAAAGTGGCCCCCGGGGGCCCCGGGAGACAAAGTACAGGGACACCGTTTGTACTTAGACGATTTGGGCCCCCAGGGGGCACTTTAAAGTACTTTAAAGTGCCCCCCGGGGGCCCCGAGAGACAAAGTACAGGGGCACCGTTTGTACTTAGACGATTTGGGCCCCCAGGGGGCCACTTTAAAGTACTTTAAAGTGGCCCTGGATCCAAGATCCAAGATCCAAGATTCCAAAAAAACTTTTTGGGGAATCTTGGATCTTGGATCTTGGATCCAGGGCCACTTTAAAGTACGTTAAGGTGGCCCCCGGGGGCCCCGGGAGACAAAGTACAGGGGCGCCATTTGTACTTAGAAAATTTCGGCCCCCAAGGGGCATTTGAAATGGCCCCCTCCAGGAGCCTCATTAATATTATACATTTTTCTATCTCTCCCCCACCCCACGAGACCAACCTGAGCAACACAAGCTTTAAAAAAGGTAGGTCCCGGGGGGGGGGGGTACCATATATATATATGTATATGTATATGTATATGTAGATATATATATATATATATATATATATAAAGATAGGGGTTATCTAGGGGAATAAGATTAAGGGCTTCTTCTTCATGGGGTTGTACCGTGGGCTCCTAAGGTGGTACCCTTGGTTTGGGGGCCCGTTGCAAAAATCCCTGAGGTAGAAACATTGGCCATCTTCGGAGTATATTCAGGAGAACCTTTTTTGGGGTTTAGGGTTTAGGGTATAGGGTTTAGGATTCAGGGTTTAGGATTTAGGGTTTAGGGTTTAGGGTTTAGGGGTACAACCTTAGAGGTATGAGTCTTAATCCCTTGATTTTAATGGCTTTTTCAGACTCCGGGGCTTGGCAGCGGCATGTGGCAACCGGGCTTTGCAGTGGTTGGGGTTTAGTGGTTTAAGGCCGTAAAGCCCTAATCCCTCAACCCTGAACCCTGAACCCTGAACCCTGAACCCTGAACCCTGAACCCTGAACCCTGAACCCTGAACCCTAAACCCTAAACCCTAAACCCGAAACCCTAAACCCTAAACCCTAAAGCCCGTTTAATGAGTTTCGGGGTTTCAGGGTGGAAGTCGACATCCGCTTTTGGCGCTTACGGCTCTGGGGCTTTGGGAGCTAGCATTCAGGGTGTTAGGGCTTTATAGGTTTGGGGGTAGTACATGTACAGGGGTTCGGTCAGGGAGCCTTTGCGTTTTGACCTTTTGGTCGGGACCCCCTGGAAAAGCAGTCTTGCAATCACTCTTTGGCCCACAACAACTATAAGACGCTAAGCCCTATACCTGCAAAACCTCACCCCCTGAACCCTAACCCCAAACCCCAAACCCCAAACCCCAAACCCCAAACCCCAAACCCCAAACCCCAAACCCCAAACCCCAAACCCCAAACCCGAAACCCCAAACCCGAAACCCCAAACCCGAAACCCAACCACGAAACACTAAACCCTAAAACCCTAGCCCGAAAACCTAAACCCTAAACCCTAAACCCTCAACCCTAAACCCTAAACCCTAAACCCTAAACCCTAAATTCTAAACCCTAAACCCTAAACCCTAAACCCTAAACCCTAAACCCTAAACCCTAAACCCTAAACCCTAAACCCTAAACCCTAAACCCTAAACCCTAGCAGGTCACACGCGCAATCCAACTGGGCCTCAAGGCGTGGCACGCGCGGCTTTCGGAGTTTCGGTGCCACGGTTTAGGGTGTTAGGGTGTTAGGGTGTTAGGGTGTTAGGGTGTTAGGGTGTTAGGGTGTTAGGGTGTTAGGGTGTTAGGGCGTTAGGGCGTTAGGGCGTTAGGGCGTTAGGGTGTTAGGGTTTAGGCTTTAGGGTTCAGGTTTGTAGGGTATAGTGTTTGACCATAGCCTGCACGCTGAACCCCAACCTGTTCTCCGACTCCCCTCCCCCCTAAACCCTAAATTTAAGAGCCTCCGGCTCAAGCCGCCGACCCCGCTGGAGCATAGTTGAGACCCGCTCGCATGGAAGATCATCCCCGGCAGAGTTCTGTGAATCGTTTGGGGGGGGGTAGGGGTAGCACCCGGAAAAGCTCAGCAAAAAAAGACAGAGTGGGTGGGGGTGGGGGTGGGGGAGGGGTGGGGGGTAGGGGGGTGTGGGGTGGGCGGTGGGGGGGTGGGGTTTGGGGGGGGGTGGGGTTGGGGGGGGGGGGTGGGGGTTGGGGGGGGGGAGGGTTGGGGGGGGGGGCGGTTGGGGGGGGGGTGGGGGGGGTGTGGGGGTGGGGTGGGGGGTGTGGGGGGCGGGGGGGGGGGGGCGGGGGGGGTGGGGGGGGAAACGCTGATTTTGCTGAGGGCGCCCCTACCCCCCTGTGCTGAACCGCCTGTTTACGCTGTGCGGGTGGCGCGGTCCTCCACGAAAAAATTGTGCACCGACCCCCCCCACCCCCCCCCCCCCCCCCCCCCCCCCCCCCCCCCCCCCCCCCCCCCCCCCCCCCCCCGCGTTTTGGGGGGGTGAGGGAAAGAGGGAGGTTTCACCTCCTTTTCCCATCCAACACGCCGCCAGGGTCGGCGGACCCTAAACCCGAAACCCAAAACCCTAAACCCTAAACCCCAAACCCTAAACCCTAAACCCTAAGCCCTAAACCCTAAACCCTAAACCCTAAACCCTAGACCCTAAGCCCTGAACCCTAAACCCTAAACCCTAAACCCTCCAATAAAGACAAAACAGAAAGAAAGTTTGGGCTCCTCCTTCATTATGAGGAGCGTTTAGGCTTTCTTCCGGGTGCGGAGTTCCGCTTGGCTTAGGGTACTTGGGTTTGGGGGAACCCTAAACCCTAAACCCTAAACCCTGAACCATAAACCCCGAGCCCCAAGCCGTAAACACTCGTGACGAACTCCACACCCTAAGACTCACGTCCTTCTCGTCAGTGAAGCATCCAGGCATCGGGGATGGTGTGACGGGTGAGTCGTCAATGTCATGATGGCTAGCGGTGCTAGCGGCTAGCAGCCTGCGCAACCCCACAGGCCGGCCAACAGGCGTGTTGAAGTCGAAACCCTAAACCCTAGACCCTAAACCCTAAACCCTAAACCCTAACCCCTAACCCCTAAACCCTAAACCCTAAACCCTAAACCCTCAACCCCAACTTGTCAGTGGAGTCCTCGGTCCCAGAGCATTTGTTTTATTGGTCGCACCACTGTGCCAGCTGCAGGATAGCGGACAATGTGCCGCGGTGTCCGCACGCCCAAAACCTCCGCGCCCGAACTGGACCCCTACACCCCATTTGTTCAGTAGGGTTTCGGGTTTAGGGTTTACATTTAGGTTTAGGAAGTAAAACCTCTTTTCCCCTAAGCCCCCAAAACCCTAACCCCTCACACCCCAGACCCCTAAACACTGGCCACGCAAGAGGAAAAGCGTTTCGACGACTGCGCCCGGATGGAGCGCCTGGACGTCGCATTTGCGAACATCTTGCTCGCGCATCCTGGCAGCCCTAAAGCCCGAAACTCCTCAAACCCCTAAGGCCAATAACCCTAAAGCCTTAGAACTCTAAACCCCGAACCCTACACCCTAAAACCCCAAGCCCTAACTCTAAAACCCTAAAACCCTCAACCCTAACCCTAAGCCCTAACACCCCAGACCTCAAACCCTAAACCCCAACCCTGAAATGTAATCCGGGCTTCAGGTGTGTTCTGTTGAGGGGTGAGGGATTCAGGAGGTTAGGGGTCTAGGTTTTAGGGTTTATATCCTATGGAACGAGAACCTGAACTGTCTGGGCTGTAGACTTTTTTCGAAGGTTCTGTGGCCTTAAGCCCTAAACCTTAACCCTAAACCCTAAACCCTAAACCCTAAACCCTAAACCCTAAACCCTAAACCCTAAACCCTAAACCCTAAACCCTAAACCCTAAACCCTACAGATCCCTGAAGCTC